ATGTGATACATTTCTCAAGCTGACATCTGATATTTTCCAGAATTAAAAACTCTGAATGGATATATAAGAATAAACCAATTCTTAGTTATTTTCATCTTGATAGTCCTAATTTTAGCTTATGAAAAAGCCCTGCTTTCATGACAAAACCTATTTTCAATGGTTTATTTTGTTAACTTTTGGGACAGTTCTTTTGGGGAAGAAACATTATCTCCTTTATCCCTGTCTTAATTGTCCATCTATGCATGTAGAGAAATCCTCTGACACTTGGCCCCCTCTGTGCTCTGCCAGAGCTGGTGAGTAAAAACAAAGGCCATATATATTTGAGATAGAGATGATTTAAAATAGAAAGTGATACTTGTAAAGCAACACAAACGTCAATGCCAAGCAGTAAGTCTTTTGTGGTTATTCACTAGTTTATCTCTGTCTCTTGTCTCTTCCATTGTGGAGGTGACATACTGTTGAGCTAGTCTTTATTTATGGACACCATTGTGAATCTAAATTTCTCTTCAAGCTTTTAATAGTTTCCCCAATACAATCTCAAAGACCACAAACAGATTCTTGATGTCAGGGGTGGGTGTGTTCAGACTTGGTCCTCGTTCTGAGGTTAATCAGCACACTGTTCATTTTTTCCATCACAACCAACCAACCTGCTGCTAACAAACTTCAGGCTCCAGTCTACAGAGGTCCCTAAAACACTGCTTCCCATTTGTATGATGACACAAGTACATTTTTTCCTCCATCCATTTTGGACTCAAAATGTCCAGAAAGCCTCAATGTTTTGCCTTGACTTGGCAACTTTTCCTGACCAGGTAATTGGCAGTATGCATTGAACCAGTTAAGATAAAACAAGAGTCTGGAAACCATGCTGCTTTATTTATGAAATAGTCTGCTTGGTTAAGCTAAATCTTGAAAAAACCTTATAAAACATGGTGGCACTTCTATACCTATGAGCCATCTATTGACCCTGGCATGTATTATGACTGAAGATTTCCATCCCAAGTAAGATAATCCTGATAGAAGAAAACAAAAATTAACCCCCCAATAAGATCTCATGTGAATATTTGGGTCTTTGCATATCTTTTCTTTAAAAAGCCTTCAGCCAAAGTATTGTGGCAGGAGAATGAGCTGGCTACTCATGTATCTAGGAAGTGATCAGTTTGCAAGGGGATGCCTTTGTGGGTTACCTGAGTCCAGGCAGCTAGATTGCCGTGGCAACCTCAGTTCTGCTCTTAGAGTAGGAATTTGTCCAAACAGCTATCCAGGTCTCATAAGAGACCTGAGTTTAACCAAGTAAATGATTTTCATAAAAAAGCATTTTACCTTTTCCCAAAATAAGAACAGATTGTGAGGATAAAATGAGATCACAGATGTGAAAATGGCTTGAGTAAAAGTTGCACTCCAACATTACAATGATTATCCACCTGATCAATAATATAGGCTTTCCATATTTCCTCCAAGAACTTATAAAAAAATTCATATAGAAGTTATGGTTTAGATTTGAAATTCTCAGCCCTTCTTGTTCATCTTGCAAAAAATCCCCAAGTTAAAATAGTTTGAAGAAATCTGGAGATGAACTAAAGCTTAGAGCTATAATGGACATATTAAATGTCAAATGTATGATGCACAAACTGGGCCTGGTCTATGGAAGTCCAAGAATAACAGGTCTACAATGATGTTGTCCTATTAAACGTGTCAACCTGCATTTATGAAAAGACAAAGGTAGTTCATCTATTTTCATGTTTATTGGAAAAGAAATTGGCATAGAGAGATTAAGCCTAATATGAGTTCACATGTGCACAAGGGGTAAGAACCAGGGAGAAGACCCAGGTCTCATACCATGACCACTCAGGTAACATGTGCAGGTTTTTAAAAAGTCAAGTCTCTCAAAACTGTAGCTCCCTGAACCCCTCATTGTCTCCCACCCTTCTGCACCTTCTCCTATTTTCCACATCCAAGGTAACACAAGCGTTTACTCATGTCACATTTTGGAGTCACCCACCAACACCAATTCCCACAAAAAGTAAGCCAAAGGGGCAGGAAAGGTGTAGTTTTATGGAAATTTGTTTGGTTCTTTTCTCTGGTCTAAGTCCAGTCCTGATTTAAAACCCTGAGTACAGGGCATGTTTATCTTCATGGCCTGCTTCTACAGATCACGCTATGTAATGAAACCGGTGCTCTTAAAATTATAAACTCTGCAGCTGAAAAGACCAACCCTTCTCCTCCAAGTTTGAACTACAGTTTGTCTCTGTAAAACAACAAAGTCAATGAGCTGTTGTGCAACAGGATCTGAGGTGGCCGGTGACTGCATGCACAGCTGACAGATGCGTCATGACCACCCTTCAGGAGGACTTCATTTATGTTGGCTGCCTTGGCTTCCTCATCTTGTACATATTTGGTTTACGGAATGCAAGGAATTTGCTAGCTGAGCAAGTTTATCCACTCTGCTTTCTAACCAGGCTCTTTCCCACTGAGGTAGGTTTCTAAAAAATTCCCTCAGCGGGCTTGGTTGCAAAAGCAGCAGCGTTGAGTGGGACAGTTTAAATCTGAACCAAATCCTCCCTAAAACATCCACTGTGCTCTGTCAGGACACAGAATCCGGCTCTGACTTTGAAACAGAGGTATCTGAACTTACTACCAAAACGTGTAGCAAAGTCTAGAACGACATCATCCCTCTATGTGCAAACACATGAAACAGGCCAAGGGGACCAAGTAGAATATTTGCTGAGCTCTCACTTTATGCAACACAAAATGTTATTTTCATTTTACTAACATGAAAACTGCAGATCGCAGAAGTTAAAATAACTTAGTCACATTCAAATACTAAATGGTAGAGCAGGAATTTAAAACCAAGCCTCATGCTACAACAAGGCCAACTGTGTTACATTTGTGTATTCTCTTTTACCCAAGCAAGTAGATTATGTGAGTAAACGTGCAAACTAAAAAAGTAAACTAAAAGAGTGCAAACTATTAGATAAAACCATTATGCATTAAGACTTGGAATTTAAGAAAAATACATAAATCAAGGTCCAGATTAATGACTTACCAAATCATACAACCTACATGACTTACTGACTTGCAAATAACCCTGAATACTCTATCTTAACCCTCTTAGGGAAGTTAAATTGGCTAGTGATGAAATGTAGAAACCTTGATTCTTCTATTTAATTAATTTAACCATGTGTATTTGTTTGGGAAAAAAATTAACATTAGCTGTATAATGTGTAAATGAAACCAAAAGTACAGCCTGAGTTTATTTGGGCTCATAGGTAAGAACTAACGTCCAAGCCAAAAGCAAGAAAAATAAAATAGAACCACTGCACCATCTAGTGATGGAAGTCTTGCTTTGCAAGAAAACCACCTGATGCAATTATTGCAAATCAATCCCAAGAACTTTCTGGGCCTGAAAAATGTTCATAAAATTGGCCAAAAGAAGAATGTCTAGAAACAATGAATTAAGAAAATTTAGAGCAAATATTCAGGAGCAGTAGTGCAGGATAGAATCTTCTGTTAAGGTGCCATTTAGAAGCTAGAAGTAAAATCCAATCTCTACTCCCTGAAGATATGCCATGGGTTTACTTTTCTCTCTGTACCCTAAATCTTTAGGTATTATTTTATATATGAGGGTTCAATGCTGGGTGTGGTGACATGTACCTGTAATCCTAGCTACCTGGGAGGCTAAGGCAAGAGGATTTCTTGAGCCCAGGAGTTCAAGACCAGCCTAAGCAACATAGAGAGACCTTCTTCCCCCCAAATAAATAAAGGTTCAACTGCAAAACACATGTGACATAAGTATCTATTCAGCAAATCCAAGATGTTCTTCCTCCACCAAGAGGAATGAGTAGGACTCATTGCAAGGTTCAGTGTAAGACCTGCATGTCTTTCTTCTAGATTATCTTTCCCTCTGGTCTTATCCAACTTAGGTGGTGATAAATCTGAAATTTAATGCCTTCTTTCAATGCTCAGCAAATAGCAAGATACCCAAAGATAGCTTACCTATCACAAAAACATTACAAGAATATTACTTCAAGAGCCAAAGATAATACAATCAAATTAGAAAACTTTTTTGTGATCTCAAGATTTGTATTTTGTCCAAGAACGTTTTAACATTCATGGTCAGGGAGGAAATGTATTTATTATAATAATTTTATAATTCTTATTGTTGAGTGAAAAAGTTAACAAGGAAAAAGAAAGCACATTTCAATTTATTAAGTATGTGAAATAAATGTCAATGTATGTGAAAACAACGTTTACTTCCATTATGTTGCACAATTTTTAAAGCTAAGCTAGTTTTTATTTCAGCAGGGTTTGTGACATTCTCAGTGACTGGCTTTGTTGGCACCAATCTCTCCTCAGGCAGGACAGTAGTTGAGCCTCGTTGTATACCTGACACCTCCCTCAGAAATCCCTAGCATAAATTTTACCATTCAATTTCTGAGTTGGTAGTTTTTCAAAATCCCATAATGTCATTTGGTCTTTGTCAGTAATGAGATATTATCTCATCACAGGTAAGAACTCCCAGAGTGCCCGGCAGAAATCAACATCACCTAGTGGGGAAAAAACACAGTAATAGAGCAAGAAATCCCCAGCCCAGCAACCATTCGCTGCATGACCCTGAGAAGTTTCTCACCTTCTGTTAACCTCAATTTCCACGCCTATAAAACGGTGATAAAACACATCACTTGAGGGGTTACCTTAAGTGTTAGAGTATATATGAAGTGTCTACCAGGCAACAAACCCTCAATGGTTGTTCCTTATTACTAAAGTGATAGCATGCTTCTTAAAACAATACTTCTCAGAAGTTGACGCTCATGTGGCCTGAGACTGTTGCTAGGCAAGCTATAAACTAGGCCAAATGTGTCCTTAGGTTTTTGCTTACCTTTTCAGCACTACCTCCAAAACCCACAGGGAAATCCAGAAAAACTGACAGAAGGGCATGAGAAGACATTCAAGTCCACGCTGAATGAGTTGAAAAGATATGTCACCAAGAGTCAAACACCCCATAAAGCTTTTAAAGACAGGTTTATTTATATATAAGTGCATGAAATTGAATACAGAAACTTTATTAAAATACTGTATATTACAAATTTTTAATCCAATAAATTCTGTGTAATGACAATTCAGTGCTGGATTCACTTTTAACAGCTGTTTTGTGTGTATCAGTAGAGAGTTCACCCTGTATATTACAAAGAGGAGAGCCACATGTGGCCCTCAGAGAAGGGCCTGTGAGTAGACACTGGATCATATTGATTGTGCATCTTTTCGTTAAAGCAATGTATTGGAACCTAGATCTTATCTTTGTAGACCAACTTTCTATAATCAAAAATAACTTGCGTATGTTTATTGCTGCCCTTTGAAGAAAATGAGAATGGTGAAAAATAATTTAAAATAAACATCAATATCTCTAAGGCTAACCTGATGCTTACTGCAATTAAAATACTTAAAATTCACTGCAAAATTTGTGTTCTCCAGGAAATTATGCTATATACACAATGAGATTTGTACATGAATTGGGAAATAAAAAATTGCTTATATAAAATTAAAAATCAATAGTATACAATATTTACAGCTTGTTAGGCATTATATATAAACATAGTTTTTTTAAATAATCCTTCGAAATTAAACTGTATTATGTAAACATGCAGTACACATACTCATACAGTGTAGTTTATAGTTGTAACAGAAGCGGGAAAATTGTGTTCACATAATGTAGGGTATTTCATCAAATATGCCTTTGTTTTTGTGGATGACCCCTTCAATGTTTATTCTTCCTGTCTTTAAGCTTCACAGTACATTTAGTATTTCTATAGTAAAAATAAATCCCTGATGGTAAACATATTTCTAAAGGTTACATAAAGCATCTGCCCTTGTACTACAGTATAAAACTAACACTTTCACACTAGAATCTCTAGTATACAACAAAACTAAAATTTAAAATTCTACATTTAATTTTCTTGACTACATTTTCCCCATTTCATACTTACTTGGAAAGAGAAAAGAGAGAAAAAGAATACATACCACATCATGAAAATATAACAAAAGTAGCTGTCATCTGTCATAGTCAATGGTTAAATAACTGATTTACACTGAACCATAAGAAGCTAATAGCTAAGATTTGTTTCAGTGATGCTCTTCCTAAACTCTGAATTCCCAGTAACAGGTGACATGCGCCAAGTTGACTCATGGTGCCAATCCTGAATCTCACTAAATCCACTTTGCAAAAGTATCTTAACTTTCAAGGCACTAAGGCATCATTTAGCTTTGAAAAACTGTCCTGTGATTTACTAAATGATTCATCAGTGGTCTGAGAGTTAACACAATTTGAAATTGAGTCTTAAAAACCTATCAGAAAAACGATTTTTCCTATCAAAATAACCACATATTTTGCTAGTTAACTTTAAGATAAAGTTGATCCCCTTGTCCAAGGATGACTAAGGTCAGGGACTAATACTTATGGTAGAATCATATGAATTTTACCAAGTTATATGGCTAAAATGAAAAATACTGTGGAATTTCATATCTTTTCATTTAAGTGTATAGAGCTCATGTCTGAATATATGTATTGGGGAGGGCCAAAACTTTAAAAAATTCCTCCATAGTAAATGCATCCATTATCACAAATACTAAGTGTCAACAATTAGACTACCAACTCATCCAGCATTGAAAGTAAATCATTTTTATCACTATTCAAACAAGTGCCTCTATTTTGCTTTCTATGGAGAAATCTTAAAAATTTTCCATCTCAAAGATATTAAATAATGATGTGTAAATACTTTAAAAACAATGGAAACTTTTCATCATCACTAGTATACTCAAGTTAACATTCATTTAAACAGGACTATAAAAAAAAGTGATGATTTTTAGTAATAACCAGTTTATATTTAAGAGAAAAAGTGTTACAGTTGTGGGATCCAGATGATAATGTATTATAGTTCCTCTTTCTATATTTCAAACTACTTTCCAGTTTCAGTTACATACCTAAATACATTCTGAAAAAGGAAATAAACATGTTACTATTGAGGGTAGATATATTTGGGTACAGTATATAATCTAAAAAAAATTTAAGAGCTTCATGCTTTCCTGACTTGCCTACAGTATTTATTTTTCCATAAGACTACAGCTGCATAACCATGGGTGTTAAGAATACTCTCTTCTAAACCAGCACTTTGGCTTCTATCAACAAACTGTACATATGTTTTTAACGTATGACATCTGTATGGAAGGTGGAGGAAGATTTTTAAGAAATTACTAAATTAGTTCTCAAAATCAAGAAAGAATTATTATGTAAGTTCAACACGTGCAATGAATGTAGAGAACGTTAATGTGAGTCCCCTAAACTTAGGGGAAGAGGTGATTATAGTTCATAGCTCAGTTCACTCAGAAATTTGAGTGCTTCCACTAATTTAATAAAGTATTAACTGGTACATCTCCACATTTACTGAAAATTTGATACATTAAGTATTACTTCCCCCAAACAAATTCACAGGTACACTTTTAGATAACTAATTCAGCAGCCTCTTTAACAACATTGTATTATCTACTTGGAACGGAGATCATTAAGTTAGCAGAGCAAACCACACACATGCAAAAATGTAATATGATTTCAGAATGCATTATGGTCAGTGAAGTCTCACATATAAAGAAACACAGCTTTCTGTAAACATGCATTGCACATACTCATACGGTACAGTTTATAGTCTTAACAGAAGGGGGAAACTGTGCTCATATAACATCAGTACTTCATCAAATGTGTTTGTTTTTTGTGCGTTACCTCTCCAACATTTCTTCCTGTCTTTAAACTTCCCTCTGCTACAAAATGGTACCATGTATTTAAGAAATGTTATAATTTTTAATCAAATGATGTCCTTTTTACCCTGAGGAGTGTTCTTCCAAAATATTATAAAAAGGACCGAAAGTTAAGGAAGATTATGAGATCATTTGATTACTAGTCCATTTTTACCACTGAGAATCTCACCCCTGATTATTAAAAGCAACAGTAATTTACCTAGATTCCCAATGGGTGTTAGCAAATTTCTCTGCAATCTAAATCCACTAGAATTTCTTCAGTAATTTTCCACATTCTTCTCATCTTAAGTAATGACTGAAGAGATTTTGATTAAGACTTTCTGGAAGAAAAATATGTAATATCAAGAGTGAAGTAGTATGAAATTATTTCAGAAAGTGCTCTTAGCATCTTGTTACTTCCTGAATTATAAAACAGATTTAAATTAAGAATAGTAGTACTTCTTTTTAAATTAAAAAAGCAAACAAAATAAGGACTAGGGCTTATGTGCCTTTGGTCCATGAAAGGGACTTGGTAGACACTGGAGCCCAGATCTATTTTGCTACAGTTGTGGCCCCACACTGTGGAGCCAGATGCCCAGGGGTGGAGAAGAAAGGAGGATTATCCTCCATAACACAAGGAGGATAATCTGCGCACAGTGGCGAGTCAATGAATGGTACGTGAATAAATCCAAGGGAAGTACCACGAGGTAAAGGTTAGTAAACACTAACCACCTCTATCATTTTCCTACTTTAACCAGTGGTAAACAGAACTCGTAACTTAATCCTGTTTGCCCTGGCCGTTTCCACCACCACCAACTCCCAAAAGGGTTCTTCAATAAACATCTGCTGATCTTAAAAATAAAGGGGTGGAGAGGGGGTGAAGGAAGCAAGACTATAGAGAATTGTTTTATTTCCTTCTTAAAATATATGTAGAGAAAATATGGAAATGGAAGAAAATAGGAGAATTTTACAAGACAATATATTCAATTGGTACTGCAAATTGAAATTTTTAGAAAAATTCTAGTGACCATCTATTGATCATTTACTGTCAGATACTGCTTTGCCATTCCCAAAACTTCTCTCATAATCCTCACAATAACTACATAAAGTATTAATCACATTTTGTAAAGTATGAACTGAAGATCAAAGAGGTTAAATAATTTGCTCAAGATCAAAAAGCTGACAAGTGACAGAGCCTGAATCAAATCTGCACTGCTGGCTTAGAGTCTAATATTCTCTTCACTATGCCACAGTAATGGTATCTCAGTTGTTGAAAATCCATTTAAAAAAAAGAAAAAGAAAATCCATTAGTAAATGAACAAGGAAAATCAGAATTTGAGAGTAAAACCCAGGATTTGAACTTTCAACTAGAATCAGGAAGCAAAGTGTTATCCCAACCATTTTAAGATTTAAAATCATCTTGCTAGTTCTCAAAGGACTCAAAGGCAGGAATCTCTTGATCATTCTTGTACATACTATAGGAATATTTGGTTTAGCATTTTGTATATAGTAGAGCCACAAAAATGTTTACCAAATCGAATTAGTATGTGAGTGTCAGCCTGGGCACACTGATGTGGCAGCCCCACTCTCTTCCTCTTAATTGGAGGTTCACTAAAGACCTTTTCTGACAACATTCTTTGATTTTTAAATTACCCCTTTTCCTTATGTAAGTCACAAATATTTAAGTTATGCAGACCTACTTGTTTATTTCTCTCATTTAAAGTATAAACAAGACCTTTATATGGTTTTGGGTAGTAGTATATTGGGTAAGAAATACTAAGGAAGTATATCGGGTAACAAACTATAACACTGTTTGGTAAACATTAAGACCTAAAATAATACTAAGCTGCAAGCACTGAACATAGCTATCATTTAGGACTGTCTTTATTCTAGGCAACCAATGGAACTGTTCCACTGGGCAGTCACATCTGTAGTTCATAGGAGGCCCCCTGACTAACTCTGATCTATGGACTTATCTAACCAGTATATTAAATAATAATTAGTTTGGGCATATAGGAGGAGCTCCTTCTTTGGAAACCAGATTTCACTATCAGCAATATTTCACTGAACATTTTTAAAATAAAGGTATATCAACCGTAGAGGATTTCCCCCTTCCTTCCTGCACTGTCACAAAAAAAATTTACTGCTACATCACATACAAATTTAAGATAGTTTAACCTAGATACATCAATAAGAGTTTTTGTTATATCCTAAACAAGGGTCTCCAGCTAACTATTAAGCCAAGAAAATTTTCCCTAAATTCAAAATTCTCAAACATCCTCAAACCTATCTAAAAAATCATTCAACTGAACATATATATCAAATTCTCCACTACGAACATGAAAGTGTTCATTGAACAAAAGCTTTCCAGTTAGACTGAATTCCTATACAGCAGCTCTACATATATGTATATAATGATATATATATGTGTATGTATATATATATATCATTAAACATTTCTTGTCTCTATAGGAAAACCACTAACTTTTTAAAAAATCTCAGCATATAAATAGCTATTAAGACAATTTCATAAATTCACACTATTCAACTGCATTTCAAAACATCAAGAGTGACAGTTGCACAAAATCCCAATGGAAATAATTGAAAACACAGAGAAACCAAAAATACTCCCTAAAATTACAAGTACACACACACATACCCAATTCATAATGTAAAGTAATTTGATAATTAAGACAACTGCAGGACACCCTACACACTATTAACCATTCAATTATACTTTCATTCTAGAGTAAAAACAAGAGTTTAAATCTCTTTGGTCCACACATTCATGTATTTAATGCAAACAAGTGATTTTCTGATTAATTTTGAATTATAAACCACGTGTTCCATACTGCCTTACCATGATAACTTTCTTAAATCATAAAATAACTGTATTTTAAAACAAATATTCATTCTGTAGATCTGAAACAATTTCTAAATATTACTGGCAATTCCTCTGCAAGAATATCAATGCTTTAAATTATTGACAGAGTAGCCAAAATAAAGGAAAACACAATTCAAGTCTAATAGAAAAGGAGAAATCAAATTAACATGGAAAAGTTATGCCTAAATTTAATTTGTAAAAACATCTGGAATATAAAGAACACATGAAAATAATTTCAGACTTGTACATCATAAAAAGAATCAATTTTAAGATTTACTTCAAAGAGTCACACATAGTTGCTTATTTTTTTTTAAGAAAAACAAATTTTCCAAGCCTCAGTGTTAGTAAATTGCCCCAAATTGGCTTCTATACTTATAAAAGTACCCCCTTCCCAACTCCTCATTGGTAAGTTGTTGATATTTCCTATTTTGGGTGGAGAAAAAGTAGTGTGGGTAACAAAGATCTAAAATTTGAATGAGACCTAACAGAAGCCCACTATTATACCAAATTAGGTTAAACAGCGAGGCTAGGTTGCCAGATTGTTTTTTGGATTGTCCTGAATTTCATATTCTCTGCAATAGCTCTTTGCTTGAGTTAGCACATTCATAACTGCACCTGGTAACAAAAAAATCTCATTAGGAGACCAAGTCGGCCAGGCAGTGTGTTTCCCCTATCCTTCCTGTACTCTTACAAACAACTATATTGCCAAAACCTCTGAAAATGTTTTATACAAAGGACATTTCCATTTTAATTAATGTCCTCATAGATTCTTCTAGTAAACTTAAATCATAACTTATAAACTTAAATAAACTTAAATCATAACTTAATAGCATAAATCAAGAACTGAACTGAAACAAATCATTCAAATACATGTTCAGTACTATATTGATATGTTGAGACTAACCGCCAAATTTTAAAATTATTTACTATATTCCCAATTTTTACTTAGCAAAATTATGTTACTACATATCCATAGTAAAATTGTTTATTATTGTTCCAATATAATTTACTTATTACTTTTCTACAAATGAGGTTTTTTATTTCCAGAGCCTAATTTAGGCCACTCTCTAAAAATAGTTAATACTCCAGAATGAAAGATCGTTTATGTTTCATCAAAAATCAAGATATATGCAACAAGTAATATAATCCCATTGAGATACTAGTTATAAAGATGTTTTCTCGATGAGATACAAGGCCAAAACTTTCTTTAGAAGGGTCAAAGATGCAACATGCATTTCAGACTTTTTTCTTACAAAATTTATAAGAAAATTTCCAAATTATATTTTCATGGCACACAAACTACAATCAATGTGTGTAACCCATAAAGTTTTTGAATTCATATAAATGGAATATGCATGAGGGAAACTATTAAAAGGGTGTTATTTAAGTTAGTGAAAAGTATGCACCCTATAGATCTACTTTGAGTCCTTAAAACAGTTTTAGCTAGTCTTCCATGAAGAAGACTATTATTTTCCACACAAATTAAGTAACAATAATGCCTAAACATATTAAAGCCCTAAATCCCAGAACACTCAACATTAAAAATCAAATAATGTCTCTCATAGTAAATGATGCCATATTTAGCACTCATAGGGGATTTAGCGTTACAAAACAAAAATCTTACTACATTACTTGAATTCATGTCAAAGATGTTCACAGCACTCATCTACAGCTATGCTTGCAAATTGTCACATGATCAATGTTAACAAAAAGAAAAGAGTTTGGCACATATATCAATCCCTCAAAACGTCCCTGTAACTTAACACAACACTGTTAAGAACGATGATTTCAACACCAATGTTAACCTGATAGGCAGCTAAACAAGGTGCTTTTTCGTGTAGCTTCACGGAGTGTCTTAACGCACCTTGCCTGGGACGGAGGCACGTAAGGTGCAGTGCGGTAGTGCAATCGCGTGAACACCAGAGGGCGACCTTCCGCCACCGCTCGAGCTCCTCCTCGAGCTCTGACCCGCTCGGTCCGCGTTCTTGCACAACGTCGTTTCTGCTCGTTAACAATGCCGCTTTCAGGGAATCTGTACATCTGTTTCCTTGGGTGAGGCAGGACGTTCCCACGGAAACCTCAAAGCGTGGCCAGGATCCTTGAGAAGGAGATGATGATCGTGAGGACGGTCTGTCCGACGCCCCACACCAGCGCTTCCAGCGGGGCCATGTTCTTGCCGGCCACTCGGTAAATGCCCGCCACCGCGGCACCTAGGAGACACGCGAGACAGCAGCGCGCGAACGCGGTCATTCATTCGCATTCCGTGAGTTCTCCACGAAAGCGCTTCCGCGCGACTGACAAACGTTATGCTTGGCCTTACACGTTTCACCACTTAACTGAAAAACAGACTTTTCTATTCAATCAAAAGATACATGCAGTATATACTGCATGCTTTATACCGAGTATGTTCATAAAAATGGCAATTCCTTATTGTCCTCTCTCACCTGGGCATTCAACTAACTAGACCTCATCAGCATTTTTATAAACAATATAACACATTGATAATTATCAGTGATAATGCAGAAAAATGACACAATTTAATGTAATTTCTAAATTATTAACAAAAATCTTAACATTAAAGGAATTTTTTTTTTTTTGAGACAGAGTCTCACTCTGTTGCCCAGGCTAGAGTGCCGTGGCATCAGCCTAGCTCACAGCAACCTCAAACTCCTGGGCTCAAGCGATCCTCCTGCCTCAGCCTCCCAAGTAGCTAGGACTATAGGCATTCGCCACCATGCCCAGCTAATTTTTTCTATATATTTTTAGTTGTCCAATTAATTTCTTTCTATTTTTAGTAGAGACTCGGCCTCGGTCTTGCTCAGTCTTGGACGGCTGGTCTCAAACTCCTGAGCTCAAACCATCTGCCTGCCCCAGATTCCCAGAGTGCTAGGATTTACAGGCATGAGTCACCGCGCCCGGCCTAAAGGTGTATTTTTTGAGTAAAATGAATTCATTCTTAAATGTAGTGTAAACTAGAATATTTGACTAATTGATCTCATGGTCTATCATATAAAATAGTTAATTAAATTTTTAAATAAAGCATATAACTCTAAGCTATTTCGAGACTAGTGTCTTGACATTTAATAAAAATGGAAGATGAACTTGACATCTATTCTAGGAAAAATTTTTAGATAATGGGTACTTCCTGGAATGAGAGAATCTCAGAAATATGAGGAATCTCAGAGACCATTTCATGCAACACTTCATCTTAATACAGTAGACATAATGATGTGGTATTTAAGCGGCAAATTTTAAAAAGACATTCATAATCTTAGAGGAAACATCTAAATTATACTATGCCACCTCACAGACTGAGACAGCCTTAAAATCATTTCCCTAGAAAAACTCTCTACCTATCCTAGAATGGTTAGTCAATCGAAGTGCCTATCAATACATGAGTGGATTAATAAAATGTGGTATATGTATACCATGGAGTACTATTCAGCTATAAGAAACAATGGTAAGACATCGGCCTAGGCAAAGAGTTTATGAAGTCCCCAAAGGTAATCAAAGCAGCAACAAAAATAAATAAATGGGACATGATGAAATTACAACGCTTCTGCACAGCCAAAGAAATAGTCATGAAAGTAAACAGACAACCTACAGAATGGGAGAAAATTTTTGCATCCTACGTTTCCGATAAAGGGCTGATAACTAGAATATACTTAGAACTCACGAAAATCAGCAAGAAAAAATCAAATAACCCTATTAAAAAGTGGCCAAAGGACTTGAACAGAAACTTTTCTAAAGAAGACAGAAGAATGGCCAACAAACATATGAAAAAATGCTCATCATCTCTAATCATCAGGGAAATGCAAATCAAAACTGCAATGAGATATCACTTAACTCCAGTGAGAATGGCCTTTATCAAAAAGTCTCCAAATAACAAATGCTGGCGTGGATGTGGAGAGAGAGGAACACTCCTACACTGCTGGTGGGACTGCAAACTAGTTCAACCTCTGTGGAAAGCAATATGGAGATACCTTAAAGCGATACAAGTGAATCTACCATTTGATCCAGCAATACCATTGCTGGGCATCTAACCAAATGATCCAATGACACTCTATAAAAAAGACACCTGTACTCGAATGTTTATAGCAGCACAATTCATAATTGCAAGGCTGTAGAAACAGCCCAAGTGCCCATCAATCCAAGAATGGATTAATAAAATGTTGTATATGTATACCATGGAGTACTATTCAGCTCTAAGAAACAACGGTGATATAGCACATCTTATATTTTCCTGGTTAGAGCTGGAACCCATACTACTAAGTGAAGTATCCCAAGAATGGAAAAACAAGCACCAGATATATTCTCCAGCAAACTGGTATTAACTGAGTAGCACCTAAGTGGACACATAGGTACTACAGTAACAGGGTATTGGACAGGTGGAAGGGGGGAGGGGGGCGGGTATATATATATACATAAGGAGTGAGATGTGCACCATCTGGGGGATGGTCATGCTGGAAACTCAGACTTGTGGGGGGGGGGAGGGCATTTATTGAAATCTTAAAATCTGTTCCCCTATAATATGCCGAAAAAAAAAAAAACAATGGTGATATAGCACCTCTTGTATTTTCCTGAATAGAGCTACTAAGTGAAGTATCCCAAGAATGAAAAATAAGCACCATATGTACTCACCAGCAAACTGGTTTCACAGATCAACACCTAAGTGGACATACAGGAATAACATTTATCAGGTGTTGGGCAGGTGGGGGGGGAGGAGGGGACGGGTACATACATACATAATGAGTGTGATGCGAACCATCTGGGGGATGGACACACTTGAAGCTCTGACTCGAGGGGGGATAGGTGGGCATGGGCAATATACATAACTTTAACATTTGTACCCCCATAATATATTGAAATAAAAAAAATTTCAATTAACTATTTTATATGATAGACGTGAAATGAATAAGTCAAATAGTCTCATATTTTACATGACATTTAAGAATTCATTTTACTCAAAAACATACTTTTAATGTTAATATTTTTGTTAACAATTTAGAAATCATATAATTTAGGAAAGAACTTAAGAAAAACAACAGAAATAAGTTATCCAAAGATACTAAATTGACAATTATTTGAGATAGTTCATTTTTACTAAGTTTATAATTTTCACTTGTTAATTTTAAAAAATTAGCTAACAATGAACTCTTTGTACTTTACTCAAAATCTCCCAAATAAAAATTACTGTATTCCTCTGTGAGAGATATAAACAGGAAAAGCAAATTATTAACCTAAGCCACGGACTTTCATATACATGTTTTAAAATAAAAGGAAATTAAAATAGTATACTTACCATATAGTATGTATCTTTACAAATATTATCTTATTTAAACATCATATCACCCTATCCCTCAGTATTATCATCTAATTTAAAGATGAAAAAACAATAGGTTCAGAGATGTTCAATAACTAGCTCAAAGAAACACAGTTAAAGTATAAGAGCTGGGATCTCAATCCAGGCTACCCTGACTATAAATCCCAAAATCATTCTACCATTTCAGGTGTATACTAAGTGCAAAGGAGAACAAGAAATTCAGAAAATAATAAAGGGAATAATCTCAACATTAAACATCAAATGGCACTAACATTTACTTAATCAAGTAATAAACTCACTTGTATCATATATTGACCAAGTTCTCACTTGGTCATATATCCAAATTTAAAATATCTTAAAATCTTTTAAAATATTATACCTTGTTTGTTATCAAAACTATATTAAAATAAACCTGAAAAACACTGTTTTTCTTTGGATTTCTATGACTATCTTCAATTTTAAAAACCGCAATTTGGCCTCCACCTCTCTGACACTAAGTTTTCAATCATGATTCTTCAATCAAGAAGGGGAAAATCAAAGCAATTAACGTGTTTCCCTGAAAATAAGACCTACCCATAAAATAAGCCCTAGCAGGATTTCTAAGCATTTGAGCAATATAAGCCCTACCCTGAAAATAAGACCTAGTGATGGGCGTGGCTACACAGCGTATCTGCACAACCCATGCATTTCGTCGCGGAGCAGTAAAGAAGATGAGCAGCCCTTGTCATCTGCCCCATGAGAGCTCTATTGCTCAACAAGAGAGATTGGGGCCAATGGTTCTAAAGGAAATAGAGTTGCAATAAATTCAGGATGGAATTCGGGGTTTGGAGAGTTATTATGATGTTCCAGAAGAAGACGACTTAACTATATTTGAATAAATGTAGATTGTTGTACCATACTTAAAAAAAATAACACATTCCCTGAAAATAAGCCCTAGGGTGTCTTCTTGAGGAAAAATAAATATAAGACCCTGTCTTATTGCAGGAAAACACGGTACTAGCTCAGGCTGCCTGGAAAATGGCAAATAAATTTGTCAATTCCAACTTCCCACATTTCCCTAAGGTTAAGAGCATGGGTTTTGGAGCTAGATTTGTGGATGAAAATCCATGCTCTGCTACTTAGTTACTGTGTTACACTGGACAATCATTTAAACTTTCCTGTCTCACTTCTCCAATTGTACAATGCACGGTGTAAAACTTAAGAGATAATACTAGTAAAGTGCTTAGAAGAGTGAATGGTCCTAGTATGTACCCAACAAAATTTTGGCTAGTAGTTGTAGTAGCAGTAAATGATAAAGATAATTCCAATCAGTGATTACCCATTCACTAAATGATGTTGGAATAATCTGTAGCCATTCGAAAGAAATACATTTAGGTCCCTACTTCAAACCATTCCCCAAAGTGTTGTAAGTTTCAGATGGATTAAAGAACTAAATACTAAAAACAAAACTACAAATGGAAACTTTAAAATGTAAGAGAATATAGACCAGGCAGGTGGCTCACACCTGTATCTTAGCACTTTGGGAGGCCAAGGTAGGAGGATCACTTGAAGTCAGGAGTTTAAGACAAGACCGGGCAAAACAGCAAGAACCCATCTTTACAAAAAATTTAAAAATTGGCTAGGCGTGGTGGAGCATGCCTGTAGTCCCAGCTACTCATGATGCTGAGGCAGGAGGATCACTTGAACCCAGTGAGTTATATTCGTACCACTGCAGCCTGGGCAACAAAGCAAGATTCTGTCTAAAATAACTAAACTGAACTATTTAGGATGCTAGGAAAAGAGATCTTATGATGACAAAAAAAGAGCAAAAGCCATACAGTTTGATGTCAAGAAACAGACTAGAAAAATATTTGCTATGTTTATAACAAACTGATTAGTATCCATAAT